GAGAGAGAGAGAGAGAGAGAGAGAGAGAGAGATCCCTTCTCAAAGACTCATGGACGGATACAAAGGGGAAAAACGCTATTCTGATGGGCTCAGTGTTGACTGCGTCTTCCCTCCTTTCAAGGTTGGCAAAATGAGGAGCCAGATTGTTAGGGACAATAGGCTGGCATTGTAAACTGCCCAGAGAGGGCACTATGGGGCAGTTATTACGGTAAGTCTAAATGCCACAGCTGTGGCTAAATAAACAAGACAAGTAAATACTTGTTTTTTTTCAGGAAGTATTTTTCTAGCAATTTGGCTTGGAAGAGATTCCTAGGAAAAAGTTATCCACCAACTGGAATGGAGTGCAGGTAGTCCTCAACTTACAAGAGTTCATCTAATGACCGTTCAAAGTTACGACGGCACTGAAAAAACAGTGACTTAAGAGCGCTTTTCACGTTTACGATCTTTGTAGCGTTCCCCATGGTCACGTGATCACAATTCAGGCCCTTGGCAAAACTGTCGCATACTTATGACCTTTGCTGTGTCCCGGGCACATGTGAGATCCCCTTTGGCGACCTTTTTGACCAGCAATATCAATGGGGAAGCCTGGTTCACTTAACAACCGGGCAACTCACTTATCAACTGTGATGATTCACTTAACAACTGCGGCAAGAAAGATCGTAAAATGGGGCAAAATTCATTTAACAAATTGTCTCACAGAACAACAGAATGAACATTTTTTGTCTGCTGGAAGTCCCCCACTTATGACCACAATTGGGACCAGAATTCCTGCCGCTAAGCAAGGTGGTTGTTAAGTGAGTTGCACCCCATTTTACAACCCCCCCTTTTTTGCCAAGGTTGTTAAGTATATCACTGCCGTTATGTGAATTATGTGGCCATTTTGCGGTCTTCTAACAAGCAAAGTCAATGGGAGAGCCCGATTCACTTAACAACCGTGTTACTCACTTCACGACTGCAACGATTCACTTAACAACTGCAGCAAGGAAGGTTGAAAAATGAGGCAAAACGCCCTTAGCAACTGTCTCATTAGCAACAGAAATGGCAACTTCTTATAAAGAAAATCGATTTAAATGTTTTATAGATGGCATTTACCACCTGCCAGGTTAGCTGAAATGTTTAAAAATATGTCCGGCAAATGTTGGAAATGTAATCAAAAGAAGGGCACATTATATCGTATGGGCTGGACCTGTGCTAAAACAAACAAAAAACAAAAAAAATTGGGCAGAGATGGCATGCACAGTTGGCTAGACAAGATGATAGGGAAACATGTGGATTTTAAACCTGAACTATTTTTTATCAGGTATAACATCAGAAAAACGTGATAAGAAAAGTATGTACTTAATATTATATGTTGTAACAGCAGTGAAGATTACATTTACACAACATTGGAAACATGAAGAAACACTGGGAGACGAAGAGATAATTAAGAAGATACTAGACCTGTGATGGAGAACTTATGGCATGCGTGCCCAAAATGGCAGGCGGGGCTGTGTTGCCTGGCACACGCGATGTCGCCTGTTCCTCTTCTGGATTTCTGGCCCGCATGCGCGCACAACGATCAGCTGGCCTTCGTGCTTGGGCAGTGCCAGAAACTGGAAGAGCTGGTCTTCTATTTCCCAGTTTGAGCATGCATGCTGGCCAGCTGATCATCGTGTGAGCATACGCCATTAACCGGAAGACTAGCCGGCTGGTGCGCATGCGCACACCGGAAATTAATTTTTTGGCGCGCATATGCCCACTGGGAGAGATCCTCTTCCGGGTTGCACCCCAGATGAGCATGTGCTCTTTTTTCGGCATTCAGTGCCGAAAAGGTTTGCCAATACTGTACTAGGCTTTGCAAAAATGGATAGATTGACATTGAAAATTAAGCAGGAAGAAGACACAGAATACTATCAAACATGGAATCTGTTTTACCAGTGGTTGGAAAAACGGGGGTAGAGAATTGTCAATCAAATTAAACACCCAGACAACACAATGTTTATTAAGCACTAAAAATGTAATTAATAAAAAAATCAATTAAAAAATTGTGGCTGTAAGTTGAGGACTACCTATATTCCTTTTAAGCTACTCAGAGTTACTCCCATTGCAAGAGTACAAATCACTGCCATCGATACGTCAAATGCGTAGACATCCAGTTCTGAATACGCACCGCGCATAAACATCTGCACAGCTTATTTTTTTATTCTGGTTTGTTGGCTTACCTTCCAACAGCTCCACCTGCTCATGTAACCATAGTTTCCAGCTTTCTTGCTTCACCCTGGTTGAGTAACATCTCATCCCAACACGGAGCCTCCCTGAAAAGGAGAGAAGGCTGATCATTAGGGGAACTGGTTCCAAAGGGCCTGTCAGCCTCTGTTTTGCTGCTTGCTTTTTGGCTGCCATTGAAACGGGGAGGGAGGGCCCATGGTATTTGGGTGAGGGAAATAATCTGTACAGGAGGACTGTTAATTGGGAGTTGTTCACACCATTCGTTTCCACATCTGGAAGGAGGGGAGTTTCCCACTAAGGCCATCTGTCCAGCATACCAACCTGATGATGATTTTTGAAGATGTCTCCCACCTGACCTCTGTGGAGATATACGATTGGGCTATGGACTGGGGTACCAAGGGGAGGGGAATGAATCATGTATTGATATCAGGGGTGGGTTTCTCGCCCCGTTCCAACCGGTTTGGTTGGAACGGGGCG